CTCTACCACTGAGCCACCTTCCCAGCCCCTCACTAATAACTTTTTATATTGACTATATGCTGGAATAGTAATATGCTTAGTCTACTGGGTCAAATAGGTTAAAATATCTTTCCTGTTTCTTTATACTTTCTAATGTGGCCACTATAATATTTTAAATTTTACATGTGCTTTGCATTATCATTCATTTAACAGTGCTGGAATATGTTATACCTTCCAGTTCTTAGTATTTTGTTATTATCTTAAGTTACAGAGTCGCAGTCCTTCAAACCCAGAAAACATTACATAGCATTGAAAGTATTTTCCTTCCTCAGTGGCCACTAGATGGCGTGAGAGTTCAGGCCACCATTTAGTTAACAGAGCTTTAAATTTTGTATTTGGAGTTTTTTCAATGTGTCACCCACGGCCTCATCTGCATGTGTTTGCTCACATTATTCTTCACCTAGGATGCTCTTCCTATCAAACCTAGTAATTTCAAAAATATTCAGATCACCTAAGAAGCTCTTTTATTTATTTTTTATTGCTTGTGTGGCTTGAGCTCAGGGCCTGGGCATTGTCCCTGAGTTCTTTTGCTCAAGCCTACCACTCTATCACTTTAAACCACAGCTCCACTTCCAGTTTTCTGGTGGTTAATTGGAGATACGAATCTCATGGCCTTTTCTGCCTGGGCTAGATTTGAACCGTGATCCTCAGATCTCAAACTCCTGAGTAGCTAGAATTACAGGTGTGAGCCACCAGCACTAGGCAAGAAGCTGTTTCTTACATCCCCTTGCAAATAATGGTGTGCCTTCTATCCTATATAAATATTCTATCATAGAACCATGATGCATTATTATTATTATTTTGTCAGTCCTGGGGCCTGAACTCTGGGCCTAGGCACCGTCCTGCAGCTCTTCAACTCAAGGCTAGACTCTACCACTTGAGCCACAGCGCCACTTTCAGCTTTTTCTGCTTATCTGGTGCTGAGGAATCAAACCCAGGCCCTCATGCATGCAAGACAAGCACTCTACCACTGAGCCACCTTCCCAGCCTGCATTATTATTTTAAAACTACCTCATGTATGTTATTTGAAGCAGTTGGTGATGAGATCTTGGTTGGTACTTGGCATCCAGTGGTGCTGTGTACAATGCCTCAATCCAGATGGGCTGTTATACAACAGTAGCCAAAACCCCCAAATTCCCATAGCTTCCACAACAAAAGTTGAGCTCCTACTGATCAGGAATCAGATGAGGGCTCTGTTCTGTGGCATCTTTGCTCCACAATGAACATTAATGGAGAGTGCTATACAGATCAATTATGATCACTGCAACTGAAGATAAATGAAGGCCTGACAGATTTGAGGATCAACCTTCAATGTTCCTACCTATGGAAATGGAGGTGTGGGTTTAAGTGGTAGAGTGCCAGGCTTGCGTGGAAAAGCCAAGTGAGAGCGCAAGGCCTTGAGTTCAAGCCCTAGCACTAGGGTGTGTACACATGTGTGAGTATGTACGTGTGCACACACACAAATGCTTGGACTAGAACTGACACAAGTTGCTTTTACTCACAAATCATTGGCCAGAATCAGTCACATGACCCCATCCCAACCATAAGGGGGTCAGGATGCACAATTTGATCAAGTGTTTGGGCAGAAATAGTGGGGAATACCAATGACTACACTAATGGCCTTTCACTTCAGCTCACATCTCTCCTGCAGGTAGAATCTAATGCAAAGGCAACAACCCAAGTCCTTTTAGCTACAAAACCAAGTTAAAATTTAACAATCTTGGTGATTAACAATAGTTTCTCCATCTCAGATGTCGCTTGAAATGGAGATTTATAAACCAAAAGATCTCCCTGCCCCCATACACATCTCTAAAATACAGCACAGAATACAGGCAGGCTAAATGCGGTAACCTGGGATGAAGAAGAATGAATGGGAGACATAGCAGCCTAGAGGCTACGATACTTACAGAGAAGATGTAGTATGTGCCTAGTGCCCTGGGAGCAGGGTATGCTGTGCCCAGTCCCAACTCAGCCAGGAAGAGGATCCTCACACAATTGTTTTAAGTTACTGAGATTTTAGTGTTCTTGCCACAGTGTAACCTAACCTAACTTGGCCTTGACTGATACAGATACTGGGATTAGAGGAGAGTGTTACATATTAAAAAGCAAAAAAGAAGTCAACAAACCCTGATCTGTATGACGTGAACTTACCTGGAAGATAGCAGAGATTGGTCGTGGGAAAAGATGGCAACCCTTGTTATGTAGTAGCAAAGTATTTGTTAGAACTGTTGCCTAGAGGGACACCGAAGTTACTGTGTCTAATAGTCTTGCAGATCTAAGGGAAAGAGAGAGGGAGTCAGAGAGCTGAATGAATTGGCAATTGTGGCCACTGATAGTGGACCACAAGACATAGAGAATACTTATCAGCAGGCTGAAGTGTCTAGAGAAACTGGAAATGGGTGAGTTTGCACAGTAGGCAGAGTAGCTGCTTTTCATCCTAAACTGGTAATGGATAAAACTGCTTGAAGGAACAAAATTCAAATCCAAATTAGCTTTGTGGAGACTCTCTTTTCCTCTCCTCCTTCTCTCTCTCTTCTCCCTCTCTCTCTCCTCTCTTGTCTCCCTCCTCCCATCTTTCCTCTCTCTCCCTCCTCTAACTCCTCCTCTCCTCCCTCCCCCCCTCTTCACCTCCAGGACTTCAGCCTTTGTGCTCCAGGCTAATGCTAGCATTCTACCACTTGAGCCACAATCCCACTCCCTCCTTTTTGGTAGTTAGAGGTAAGATTCTCATGGACTTTCCTGCCTGGACTGGCTTCAAACTGCAATCTTCAGATCTCAGCCTCTTGAGTAGCTAGAATTACAGGTGTGAGCCACAAGCACCCTGTGGAAATCTTTCTGAGCCAACAGGAAGCTGGTCAACTTACCTAAGTCGGTTATCACATTAGTTGAAACCTCATAGTAGCCACGTGCTAGGGATTCACAACTATAATCCTACCTGTGATCTAAGGATAACAGTTCAAAGCCAGTCAGAGAGGAAAGCCCATTAGAGTTCTATCTGCAGTTTACCAGCCAAAAGCTGGAAGCGGAGCTATGACTCAAGTATAGATCACCACCGTGAGCAAAAAAACTAAGGACAGTGCCCAGGCCCTAAGTCAAGCCCCTGGACAGACAAAAAACAAAAACAAAAACACACACCCCCCTTCAGAAACACAAAGACTCCCATCTCAATTGCTACATTAGACTTGGTGTTTTGAGTTTATAATCCCAGTTATGCCAGAGGCTATAGGTAAAAGGATCTTTTAGCCATGAGTGAAGTATTGAGAACCTACCTGAAAAACAACTAAAGCAAAAAAGGGATGGGATGTGCCTAAGGTGGTAGAGCTCTTGCCCAGTAAGTACGAGGCCCTGATTTTGAGTTTGAAACTTAGTGCTGCCAAAAGGAGTAAAGCAAACCTTTTTTTTTTTGAAACAGAGTTTTGCCTTGCCATGTAGACCAGACTGCCTCAAATTTTGCATCCTTGTGCCTCTGCCTTACAAATATTGGGATCACAGGCATGTATCACCAATTTAAAACTAATCTGCCGGGCGCCAGTGGCTCATGCCTGTAATCCTAGCTACTCAGAAGGCTGAGATCTGAGGATCATGGTTCAAAGCCAGCCTGGGCAGGAAAGTCTGTAAGACTTATCTCCAATTAACCTCCAGAAAACCGGAAGTAGTGCTGTGGCTAGACCACTAGCCTTGAGCTGAAGAGCTGAGGGACATCGTTCAGGCCCAGAGTTCAAGCCCCAAGACTGACTAAAACAACAACAAACCTAATCTTAAAACCCTTCCGGTTTTTAGTAAAAGCCAAGCTACTTAGATATGTTGAGCCAACAGAAATAATCATTTGCCTGTCTTAGTATTTTCAGCTACTAGGGGAGGCTGAGATGAGAGGATTTAAAGTTCAAGGGCAACCTGGCTCACTTACTGAGGCTGCTTCATCTGTAAGAGGTATTTTACAGATAACTGAGAACAAACATAATTGAGCAGTCACTTCGGTGGATAAGACATTCAGGAGCTTAAAAAAAATGATTAGGCCTCCTGGAATGGAAGTCCTAAAGACCAATGGGGTTGAGGAAAGGGTAATTTCTCCTCTCTAGAGATGGGCCATCACCAGAGGACTGAAGAATCATTCCTCAGTGTTTTCAGGATTTTTTGCAGGCCATACTTGCATGCTCTGGTTCCTAATATAAAATAGCACAGTATTTGCATATAACCTAGGAATAACTTCCCGTCCTTTCTCCCCCCTCCCCCCAATCCTGGGGCTTGAACTCAGTGCCTGGGGATACATTGGCTTAGTCTGTGCAAGGCTAAGCTTTAAATCCCAACACAATAATCCTTCCTCCCACCCCTTCACATAAAAGTTCAAGCTGCAATTGGTTGACCCCAGGATTGCAGCTTATGTGGTATCTGGATTCATTTCCAACAGTCTTGACCTAGGTTCAGAGTGTGATACAGGGCAGACCTAACCTATACCCTCAATCCAGAGATTTGTTTTGTTTTTGTCAGTCATGGGGCTTGAACTCTGGGCCTGGGGACTGTCCTTCAGCTCTTCAGCACAAGGCTAGTGCTCTACCACTTGAGCCACAACACTACTTCCCAGAGATTAATTTTGTGTGTATGTATGCCAGGACTAGTGCTTGACCTCAGAGCCTCACACTCTTGCTTAGCTGTTTTGCTCCAGGCTGGCTCTACCACTTGAGTTACACCTCTACTTCCTGCTTTTGACTGTAACTGAATATCAGATTGCTCTGAGCTAGGATCCTCAGATTTCAACCTCTTGAGTAGCTATGGTTACAGGCATGAGCTACTAGTGCCTGGCTTCAGAGTTTGATGTTTAAACCAAGCCATAAGCATTTTCCTGTTTCAATGTTCTAGATGTTAAAACTGAGATCTAGGAATTAAGACCCTTCCCTACCATTAACTTCAAGGGCAGAAGTCAACATGACACATAGTGGAAATATATATCCAACTTTATTGTGTTAAAAAACAAACTAATTTAAACCACATGGTGGCCATAATGCCCATGTCCTGGGCAGACTCAGTCATCCCACTGCTCCCTTTGGAACACACAAATTCTGTGTTGGAGAAAGAACTTAAAAATGTAAAACAATGTGAACTACATATTGGATATTACACTCCTACCCACCCCCTCCCCCATCTCAAGCCAACTCATATACCTTGGAGACTGTTTTCCAAACACAGAAAAGCTCTCATAGAAGAAACTAAACAGCAAATGAACAGACCAGAAGACAACCATAGCCAAAGGAACCCTGGCAGATATTTACGATGTGTGGTCAAATACATTAACCATTGGCTAAAGCTGAGGCACCACAAGTCCAAGTCCCCACCTCAGAGGTGACAGAGCCACACTGTCAAGGACAGCAAAGTACAGCATCATAACCCACTCCCATCTGTATATCCAACAGCTTTTCAGGGCAAGAAGCATCCAAGCAGGCCCTTCCCGGCCTAATACCAGTTCATTCTTGGAAAACACTGGTGCCGTGAGTTTGTTAGGAAACAGAACACCTGGCTGGACATGTTGATGTCTGTGGTCCATGGTCTGGCTGGTGCAGAGGGAGGTTTTATTGCACTCCTCTGGATGGATGGTCTGGAAGGCCTTTGGGGGGTTCTGTGTTGGCAAGCTGACCTCTGGTGGTCCAGGAATTCTCAGGTAGTGGGCTTGTCAGTAAGCTCTCCAGTGACTCCATCAGCCTCACAAAGATGGAAAGCAGGGTCAGCACCACACCTAGCAGGTAGAGGTTCACCATGTTTCTCATGGCTGAAAAGGCCCCCCAGAGAGCAGTGGAGCTGCCTTCTGCTTCTGGAGGACCTCTGATCTGAGGAAAGAGAAGAGCAAGGGTTAATCTGGAGCCTTCTTGTCTCACCAGAACTAAGAGATCCTCTCTGATGGCCAGGGAGACTGTTGTGGATCAGTGCATGTTCTCCTACAGCAGACACACTCCCAAGCGTGCTGGGCACCAATGGCTCATGCCTATAAGCCTAGCTACTCAGGAAGCTGAGAACTGAGGTTCCCAGTTTGAAGCCAGCCCAGGCAGCAAAGTTCATGAGATATTCTTTTTTTTTTGCCGGCCATGAGGCCTGAACTCTGGGCCTGGGCGCTGTCCCTCAGCTCTTCAGCTCAAGGCTAGTTGCTCTACCACTGGAGCCACAGCACCACTTCCGGCTTTTTCTGTTTATGTGGTGCTGAGGAACCGAACCCAGGGCCTCATACTTGCAAGGCATGCAATCTACCGCTGAGCTACCTTCCCAGCCCCTCATGAGATATTCTTTTCTCCAATTAAACAACAAAAAATCTAGAAGTGGAGCTAGTTATGACTCAAGTGGTAGAGCACTGGCCTTGAACAGAAAAACTAAGGGACATCATCCAGGTCCTGAGTTTAAGCCTGAATATCCTCATATGCACACATAGACACAGTCACAGACACAGACACACACACATTTTGACTTTTTGCCTACAAGGGCAAGTCACATCTGTAATCCCGTCACTGGAGAGGGTGGAGTGAATCCCATCTTGAAGGATGAGTTCAAGGCCAGCTTGGCTACAGAGTGAGTTCCAGGACAGCTTGGGTTACATACATACTGTCTCAAAAACATCCAAAATAGAAAAACCAAAGACTTGTAATTCTCCCGAAGACTGTTCCTGGCAAGTGCAATGCACAAACCCAGTACCATAGCACCTGAAGGGTTTTTTGGTTTTTTTATTTTGGTAAGGGGTAGAAGGGATTATAAGAACAGCCCCTACTAAGGCAACTGCTAATAGTTCCTCCCCTATCAGTCAGATCCCAGCTGACTATACACTTTTCCAAAGTCAAAATAACTAAGCGTTAAGTCTATAAAACATACCTGAATGCTTACAGTGAGCACGCGGCAGACAGACAGGAGCCCTGCCCTTAGGCCTTGCCACTCCGCACGCTAAATATCGTGCTTGGAAGGCAATGCTAAGGGCGGTTTGGGAGGGCAAAGAAGAGACGCCCAACTCAGCACTGGAAAGCGTGAGATCGGCCACGGGGACCCTCCTTAGACCTAGGTCCGGGGAAATTAGGACCTGTGCGGGCAGGAGTGAGGCTGGGGCGGGGTAGCAGCCCCCGCGGCCAAACGCCAGGCGCGCAGCCCCAGGGAGCGGGGGCGGGGAGCCGGGGAAGGGATCTCAGGCCTGGGAAGCCCAGGGCCTCTCACCTCGAGAGGAAGAGCCAGGAGTGGCCAGCTCGCTGTCGCAGCTGGCAGGCAAGAGTCCACAGGAAAGGCGGCCAACGAGCAGCAGCGCGGGAGCTCCAGCACGCCGGTCTCGGGACACCGGGGCGCAGCTCAAGCGGACAAAACCAGGCCAGCCAGGCCCCGCCCCCGACAGCAGTAGCTCCGCCCCGCACAGGCCCCCGTCCGGAGTCTGCGCATGCGCACTCTAGGCCGCATGCACACGCCTTCTCGCACGTCCGCGGCCACGCCCCCTCCCCAGCGCGCGTCAGTGGTCGAGGGTTGAAAGCGGGTGCGGGGCGGGTCCTGGGGAAAACTGTCCCTGGGAGCGCGCGCCCGGCGGTTGAGTCACGGCGGCCGGGAACGGGACGGGGCGTGAGGATCAGCACGGACCGCGTTCTGCCGGAGGAAACTTCAGAAGGAGCCAGAACAGCGCGTTCACCCCCCTAACGACGTCGCGGAAGGCCACGCCCATAGTGACCCCCAAATCCGAGGTTCCCTCCTCCCCCCCCCCCCCCCCCCCCGCCTGACTAAAACAAAGCTTCTTAGCCAGATCTCGGAGAGCGCACGCTGTCGGGCGTCAGGCCCCTCCGTCCCTCCCGCGCCTGTGCCCCCCGCGCGGGGCCCGAGCCCCTCGGAAGCGGGCACGCCCTCCGGCCTGGCGCGCACAGCTCGGCCGGCCAGGCGTTGCCATTAATTGGTGGGAAGCAGCGATGCACTCCTGCTGAAGCGAGCACAGGGACGGCCTGACCTGGCCCTAGCGAGACCCCATCTCAGCACTCCCCTCGCCCCTTCCCGGGGGCGGCTTGGCGCCTTCCGGGGAGGGGACTTGTGGATCAAAGCTCCTCAAAGGCAGGGATGACTCAAAGCGAGGGGCGGGGAGAGGGGTCCCCTGAGCCCCAAGAATGGCTGTTGGGCGAGCACCGGCAAGTACTGATCTGTGTGGGAGGGAAAAGTGAGAGCTCCCACTGGCAAGTTTAAAAAAAGCCTGAGCCCCTGAGAAGCCTGGGCGGTCATCCCAGCCGTGACCTTTCCCCTACTTTCCAGGCTGTCTGGTCTGTCTAGAAGGAAAAGGTGTCCAAGACGGAAAAGAAAAAAAGTTAGGACGCGCTGATTGGCAGGCAGGTAGGCGCTTGGAAACTTCCTAGCTCAGCCCACAAGCTTTTGGTTCATCATTTGATCCGTCTGCGCCCTTCAACCCAAAATTGAACTATCCTTTGAGATAGTCCCACCGGTGAAGTCTAAGGAGCCATCGCAGCACAGATCTTACAAGCAAAAGACTACAAAAGCTGGGAGCCGTTGGCTCTTACCTGTAATCCTAGCTAATGAAGAGGCTATGATTTGAAGATTCCAGGTCTATGCCAGCCTGGGCAGAAAAGTCTAGGCTCTGATCTCTAATTAATCAGGGGGAAAAAAGGGCCAGAAGGGGAGGTGTGCCTCAAGTGGTAAAGTGCCAGCCTTGGGTGACCCAAGTACAGGCACCAAATAAATGATAGCAATGGAAGTGTCGTGTTAAAACAGATAGACAGAACGTACACAGAGATACAACTATGTTAGAACGGTGATCCTACAGCAAAATGAGAAAAGCACAAGTGTTGGTGAGGATGTATAGAATACTGGCATTCATATATGACTGCTCCGAATGCAAAATGGAGCAGTTACTTCAGCAGTTTGACATTCTCTCAGATGGTTTAACACAGACTTGCCATATCACCCAGCAATCTTACTCCTGAGAACATCCCCAGAGAACTGAAAACATCAGGTTACACAAAAGCCTTTGCACAGCCGGGCACTGGTGACTCACGCCTGTAATCCTAGCTACTCAGGAGGCTGAGATCTGAGGGTCATGGTTCAAAACTAGTCCAGGCATGGGCTGGGAAGGTGGCTCAGTGGTAGAGCGCTTGCCTTGCATGCTCAAGGCCCTGGGTTTGACTCCTCAGCACCCATAAGCAAAAAGAAAAAAGCCGGAAGCGGCGCTGTGGCTCAAGTGGTAGAGCACTAGCCTTGAGCTGAAGAGCTGAGGGACAGTGCCCAGGCCCAGAGTTCAGGCCCCACGACCGGACCCCTCCCAAAACAACAACAACAAAAAAACCAGTCCAGGCAGGAAAGTCCAGGAGACTCTTATATCCAATTAACCACCAGAAAACTGTAAGTGGTACTGTGGCTCAAGTGGTAGAGTGTTCACCTTGAGCTGAAGAGCTCAGGGACAGTACCCAGGCCCAGAGTTCAAGCCCCGCAACCAACAAAAAAAACAAAGCAAAAATGCCACAAAACCCACAAAAAATGAAAAACCTTTGCACAAAGGTTCACAGCCTTTGGTTGTAGGGCTTGAATTCAGGGCCTGGGCGCTGTCTCTGACCTCCTTTTGCTCAAGGCTGGAGCTCTATAGTTTTGGGCCACAGTGCCACTTTGAGTTTCCTGGTGGATAACTGGAGGTTGGTTAGTCTCACTGACTTTCCTGCCTGGGCTTGCTTGGAACTTTGATCCTATCTCAGCCTACTGAGTAGCTAGGATTATAATCATGAGCCACTGGTGCCCAGCTACACAGCCTTATTTTTAATAGCATGAAAAGGAACAATGTAGATGTTGATCAACTTGTGAAAGGATAACCAAAATGTGCCACAGTGGATTCTTTTTCAGCCATAAAGATTGAAGCAATGCCAGGTGCCGGTGGCTTATGCCTGGAATCCTTAATTCTTCAGGAGGCTATATAATCTGAGGATTGCAGTTCGAAGCCAGCCCAGAGAATGAAAGTCCATGACATTATCTCCAATTAACCGCCAAAAAGCTGGAAGTGAATCTGTGGCTTTAAGTGGTATAATGCTAGACTTAAAGTTCAGGGACAGCATCCAGGCCCTGAGTTCAAACCCCAAGACACACACACACACACACACACACACACACACACACACACACACACACACACACACACAGAGCTGGGTTAGAAGAATGACTCAAGTAGTAGCATGCCAGCCAAGAGCTGAGGTAAGAGCACGAGGCTTTTGAGTTCAGACTCAGGTGCCAGCCCACAAAAATAAAGCCCTTTTTCAAAAAGCAAATTAAAGACATCTTCAGATAAAGAGAGTTCATCACCACAGGCTCTTATTTATGAAACTTCTGGAATATGTTCTTAAGAAAGAAAACTTGAACTCAAAAGGAAATAATGAGAGGCAAGAAGAAATGGTGAATAAATATTTATAAAACACAAGAGCCTTTCTAAACAAATTATGAACACTCAAAACTATGTTTAATAATGATTAATTTGGGAAAAAATCAGGATGAACTAGAAAAATTGGTAAACATTTAAGAGGAACAGGGAGCAGAGATAAAATTGAGCCAGTCCTTTTAGTGGAGAGGAAAGTCGATAATTTTAGACTTCATATGTCTTCATATTAAAATGTCAAGAGTAGCTCTTTCTCTTCCTTTCCTTCCTGAATAATTTAGTGCTAACCAGAACAGAGCAAGGTTCCAGCTGAATATTGAGGTACAGACTTGTAGTCACACCTGCTCAAGAGGCTGAGAGAGTAGGATCCCTTGAACCTAGGAATTCAAGACCAATCTGGCTACATAAGACCCGTCTCAAAGCAACAATAAATCATAAAAAGCTGGGCACCAGTGGCTCATGCCTGTAATCCTAGCTACTCAGGAAGCTGAGATCTGAGGATCACTGTTCAAAGCCAGCCCAGGCAGGAAAGTCCGTGAAGACTCTTATCTCCAATAAACCACTCAGAAAACTGGAAGTAGCACTGTGGCTCAAGAGGTAGAGTGCTAGCCTTGAGCTGAAGAGCGAAGAGACAGTGCCCAGGCCCAGAGTTCAAGCCCTACAACGGACAAAAATAAGCAAGTTTTCTGCAATGAACAGGAGAAGGATGTATGACTCAGATCAGGATAATGCAATGTCTTCACAGCTAGATTATTTGGAAACATGTTCAATAAATATTTGACGAATGAATGGATGGGTGAATGGCTCCCACACTTCCTCTTGATTCGGAGCAAATGTCATGGTCAGGGATGCCTTCCTCCACAGCCTAGATAAAGCAGTACCTGACACCCGCTCCATCTCCCTTCCTCTGCTTCATTTTCCTTCACAGTCACAGCACCACCAAGCCCACCTTATGTTTACTTGTTGATCATGGCTTCCCCCACTAGAATCTAGACTAGAATGAGGACCCAGACAGTGTGGAGAATTACTATGTATCTAAATCCAGAGCAGAGGCTAGAAAATCAGTGCTCAACAAATCTGTACTAAGTGAATCATTTGTCTCTGGACTGTTTCCTGCATTTTGGGAAGAGAAAAAAGAATGAAACAGTTCTGAATGACTAATTCTTGGGATATTTTTGGTACAGCATTTTTTTCTTTTTTTAAAGTTTTTTTTAAGGGGCTGGGAAGGTGGCTAAGTGGTAGAGCACTTGCCTTGCATGCATGAGTCCCTGGGTTTGATCCCTCAGCACCACATAAGCAAAAAAAAAAAAAAGCCGGAAGTGGCGCTGTGGCTCAAGTGGTAGAGCGCTAGCCTTGAGCTGAAGAGCTGAGGGACAGCGCCCAGGCCCAGAGTTCAGGCCCCACGACCGGACCCAAAAAAAAAAATAAAGTTTAAAAAAAAATTTAATTTTCTTTATGTGGTACTGAGGAATAGAACCTAGGCCCTCATTCATGGTAGGCAAGCACTTTGCCACTAAGCCCCTGGTACAACATTTTAAGAATCATCTCTGGGTAATGTGATGAACTTTTTCTCTCAAATGTTTCCTGTGGGCACCTGTTACTTTTAAAATCAGAAAAGTAGTAAAATTTAATCTTTGTAAACTTACTGCTTAAGCAACATTGTGACCATATGTGTATAGAGAAGAAAAACAAAGGGAGTTGATATGGGGAAATTGGGTGACTCACACCTGTAATCCTAGCTATTCAAGAGGCTGAAATCTGAGGATTTGGGTTAGAGGCCAGCCTGGCCAGTCAAGTTTGTGAGACTCTATTTCTCCAATTAGCCAGCAAAAAATCAAAAGTAGAGCTGTAGCTTAAGTGGTAGAGCATCATCTTTGAGCAAAAAAAGCTAAGGGACAGCACCTAGGCCCTGAGTTCAAGCCCCAGTAACCGCTTTCCCCCACCCCCAAGCACCCACAACACCTTGGGGCAAG